CTTCCTCTCTCCTGAAGGATGCGGCTCGATTTACCGCATAGTCAAATTACACGTAATTTTTAAGCTTTTATAATGAATCAATAGATAATTTCATTATAGCTACAGTAAGTTTCCTGTAGCTGCAGTAATTTAACTGTGGCAACAATGAATTTATTATAGCAATAGTAATTTCATTATTTTTTCCTGATTTTTTTTTTATGTATAAGGACAATAATTTTGTTATTAAGCACAATTAATTTACTTTTTTATCTATTTATATTCTATTTTTTAATGTTGGGGTTTAGGCCTCACCCCATAACTGCTAAAATGCCTCGCCCAATGCCCAGGCCTTTTAAAACATTGATTTAAACTTAGATATAAAAACTATAAAATATATTATTATATAAATAATATAATATATGTGTGTGTGTGTGTGTTTTATTTCAAGCTAAAAGGAGTCGAACAAGGTCGAACAAAGGATTATTCATGTTTAGCTAGTTTATAATTCGAGTTTCAAAATTTTGTTTGTGTCCGGCTAGTTTACTTAACAAATGATTCGAATACAAGCTACTTAACGAGTCGAACACGAGTTGTTCGCAAAGAACGAGCTTTTTTGATAGTCTTATCTGCACTATAATTTCATTCATATGTACAAAATTTCAATGTTGACATAACTTTCACAATCCAGAACTTTCTTTTCATTTATTTATATTAGAAGGAAAAATTATATTGTTACTATTGGACATTCATCATTTTTAGTAATAAATACTTATTTTGAGATTAATAGCTTTATTTTTCATAAAAATCATGTGTTATTTGCATTTATTAATCACATATAAATATGTATTTCATGCTAGATGCCTATAAAAAATTTTAGACATTAGAACACCCTACATCTTTTGTGATTCAATTCAAAGCAACATTAAAGGAAAAAATCGTGGCACGAGCAAGGGATAGTTTGCTTCTAAAGCATTAAAAATATGTTTTAATTCTTATTAATTGTTTTGATTTGGTAGGCAAAAACAATCTATATAAGCTCACAATCAAGAGATTTGTAGCTTTTAGAAAAAAAAACTTTCTTAGTAGCTATTCAAAAGCTTCCAGCCATTCCTATCCTTTGAGTTTGCATGCAATACCTAGCCCTTGAAAATAAGGTGGGAATAAGTGTAAATAGAACTATTATGGGCTTTAACTAGCTGGGAAAATAGATTAAATCAGTTTCTTGCCTTCTTCACAAATTTTTACAAAGAGGCGTCTATTTCATATTCTTACAAGCAAAAATTTTAAAGACATTTTCTATAGGATTTTTTTCAGTTCATTCTACTTTTTAAGTGAGGATATTAAATCAAATTACTTTCAAACTTCTGAATACGATCCTGATTTCTTTTTCTTAGGGTATTTCTACTCTAGATTCCCTTAGGTAATGTCACCACATTCATATTACTGTTGTACATGTTTCTACGAAGTTTTGCTAATATCCAATGAGTTTTGTGCTAAGATCCAATGAGTTCTGTGCTTACGCCTGCATGGAAGGAAAATCATTTCTGAGACTTGAATCCATGATCTTTACAGAGAATGGAAGCAATTTAATCATTTCTCCAGTACTAGCCAGGAAATTCAGTCAAATCTTAATTCAACAAACATTTAAAGGCCAAATGAACTAAAAATTTTCAAGGCCTTTCAAAAACCTAGGATTAATGAGCCCTGATGAATATAGTACAAAACATGTAAAAGACATAATAATAACCTTATAACCAGAATGATTGGAGGCGCTTAGGAATTCAGATGAAATCCCCAGCAAACAAGAAAAAAAATCTCACTTTAAAGGACCTTCAAATGCCAACAAGAAAAAAGGCAACGATACCTTAAATGGTGCAAGAGCAATAGGTGAAGATAAATGACAGGGGGAAAGGACATTGCCGCACTAATATTCTTAAGTCCATCTCTATCCTTACTTCTCCTCTCATTTCCTTTCTTACTCTTATTTTCTGTGAAAAAATGGTAACCAATTATGGCAAAGGCATGTCCTCTGCTAGCAACAAAGGGCATCAGAGTGGTGTGACTTTCTAAATACTACAGAATAATCTCAGCAAGTCTTAAGTACAATTTTCCATTCATAAAATCCTTTCAGCACAAAAAAAAGGGATGACGACACAAGCCACTCTTAAACTCATGTCATGAAAGCTTAGCTCCCAACATTTGAAATTATAAGACTCATTTATAAAAATCCAAGAACAATGAGAGAAATATTCCAATTCTTCAAAGTTGACCTCGTATTAACATTAAGAAAAGTGTAGAGGAGTACCTCCATAACACGCCTTATAAAGGCATCAGGAAAACCAATTGCAGAAACACATAATATGACCTTGTTAATCACCATAGTTAGTGGTAGTTTAGAAAGAGGATCCTTGACGTCAAAAAGAAACATGGGAGACAATCTGGAGAAGAAGATAGAGAGTGATGGATTAATTTTCTGCATGGTCGACACAATGTTCTTTAGCCCTGTACTAGACACCTGTAAAAATCAAGAGAACGGAACTGAAAGCTTTGTAAATGGTTCTAGGTAAGTAGAAGCAATAAAAAAAATAAAATACAAGCTCCTGGGATATCTGATGGATAATAAAGAAAAGCTATATATATAAATATTATTAGAATATTAGAATATTAATATGCAGATTTTTGTATTAATTACTATGAATTGCTTTTATTTACTTTCCTTTTCCCTTTTATTTTATTTTTATTTGTTTCCTTACTAGTATATCCTGTAATGGATATTTATACCCTTCTTTGCATCAATAAGGAATACCTTGGTAATGGATATTTATACCCCTCTTTGCATCAATAAGGAATACCTTGGATTCCATTCTAACATGGTATCAGAGTCATAGCCCTAACGCAACTGTCGTCGGGCTCTCCTTGCCCCCCAGCTAGCCTATCTAGGTTTCGTCAACCTCCCGACCAACCGATGCCTCTCCTTTAGTAGTTGTTATTGCTCAACGAATTCCTATCGTTACACTTTACTCCTCAAATTCCAATCTCGTTAGGGATTCTCAATTCCACAGCCATGGTCGAATCTGACGCCCAATTCAACAAAACAAGGCAAGAGGAGATCGAGAAACAGTAGTACCTAGAGATCGTTCATCTGGTTGTGATCAGAGCAGTTCTGTGCGTTTCAAGCCTATACGTGTACGTAAAGGAGAAATCCAACCCTCTCAGAAATGGATTCAGAGCGTCGAAGGCGCCGTTAAGAACATCGTTGGCCCCCTATACAATGGCTACCATAGTTTCCCGTTTGATCTCCTTACACTCACTGATCACAGGGTCGGCGCGTCAACCTAGGAGCTGGAATGGCACGTGCTAGAAGGGATTAAGGAGGCATATGTGAAGGACCAGGTCAGTGGCCAACTAGGTCCAGCAAACCAGAGTGGTGGCGACTACTACCAATCTGACAAAGGCTGCTTGTTTCCAAGCCAAACCAGCGGCGGAGCAGTTCAAGCTTTCGGCCAAATCTTCCACTGCCAAGGGTCTAATTGCAGCTTTTGAATCCAACACAGTACAAACAACATTTACCCAAAACAATCTAGAAACCTCCAATTCTCCTAAAAGTCCAATGGAGCACTTAATCAAGCTGCTTGGATCCAATTCACTCTCTTTCGGCCCGTTGACCTCCCACGTTTGTCAAGGTATCAATCATATGGCACCTACCTCTTTTTCCTCTTCTAGTATATAGATCATTGATTCAAGTGACACAAACCGCATGACTGGAAGCTATCAACTGGAAGCTCTCAAAGCCTTCTCGACATACTATCCTTGCTCAGGGAAAAATACTGTTAAAACTGCTGATGGATTCCAAACTTTCATTGATGGTAAAAGGCCTGTTGTTTTATCAACATGTCTAAATCTGCAATCTATGTTACATGTACCTTTGTTGAAGTGTAACATTTTATTTGTCAATACCATGACATATGACATTGATTGCGTTGCTCATTTTTCTTCTGATGTCTGTGTCTTTCAGGTTTGTCGTTCAGGAATGATGATTGGGACTGCTAAGCGAATTGTCATGCTCTACTTCTTCCAAGAGAAAAGCAGGGAGAACAAGAACACTCCACCCAGTAGTTGCAGTTTATCTCAATCAATTGAATGCC